CAGGCCTGTTTCATGCTCTCTTTCTCAGTGAAATGCACAGATACTCATAACAAACCATGACTTAGTTACAGTCTTTAGTTAGAAACATAAGCTGTATCTCTTTTTCCCCTATTTTATTTCCCCGAAATATTTCTTGTGGCCTTTCAGGTACCATTGGAAATAGATTCAAAAAGATTGGTTTGGAGAACGAAGAGGAACATCGAAGACGCTACCGCCAACTTCTTTTTACAGCTGGCGAAAGGCTTGCAGACCATATATCTGGAGTGATACTTTTCCATGAGACCTTCTATCACAAAGCGGATGATGGGGTTCGACTGGTTGATCATTTGAAGCGGATTGGCATCATTCCCGGAATCAAAGTGGACAAAGGCGTGGTCCCATTGGCAGGTTCCATAAACGAGTGTACTACTCAGGGTAAGTATAATATTTGTAATGCATCAAATTTAGCGCGGATCACATTTAGTTCTTAACTAAATCCAAGAATGTAGTAACTAAATGAAGTGGAGTCATGAAACTACTCATTAAAAATATTTCACGTTTCCGAATCAAGTTGTTATTATCGAGAAGTGTCATACCTTTTACTTATGGCGGAAAATTTCTTTTTGTATAATTTATTTTCCAGGACTCGATGGTTTGGCGGAGCGTTGCGCTCAGTATTATAAAGATGGCGCTCGGTTTGCCAAGTGGCGTTGTGTGCTGAAAATCGGTCCACAAACTCCATCCTATCAAGCTATGATGGAAAATGCTAACGTGCTGGCTCGATATGCTTCAATATGTCAGCAGGTCCGATATAGTGGTGTTATTTGCGACTTCTCCGTTTCTCTAACAGTACCAAATATTTTTGGATGGACGAAATGCCTTGCGCGTATTTGAAGTTTTACAAAATTCGGGAGGAAATGAGAAGATACCAAACAACTACAAAATAGCGTCTATAATCTTTGCTCATACTAATTTTCAGCGATCAAAATTACATTAAAAAAACTTTGAAAGGTTATTGCTCCTGATGAAACCCATCGTTTCCAGTTACCAGTTCGTAACCGAGATCAATAAACCAAAACAACCTCCACTGCTGCTACCATAAGCGTTTTCTTCTAGTTGTCAGCTTAAAAAGCGTATGCGATATATGATTCAACGCCATGAAACCATTCAACTCATACTCTGCCACAAGCACCATTGTTCTGCTAGGGTCTCACTGAAGTATAAATAATCTCTAAAGATCTTCAAATTTTGGGCTGGACAGCGCAAGAGAACAAAAATTATTTGAAATGAATGCATTGCTACATTGTTGGTGTTACTCTTGATTTCGAACTCTACATTCAATACTGTGGAAGGTACCAGTGTGTAACAGCCCCCTATTTTGCCGTGAAATAAATGCTAAATTTATCTTGACCTCATTTGAAACCAATGCCTAATGGAAGTTTTGTTGCTATGATCGGCTGACTTGGTATTGTTTCACTCGGAAACATCGGAATCCGCCTAAATACCCCCTCCTCTCGATGCTCCCAAAAACAATTCGTAAGAACACTGTGTTCCCCCCCCCCCCCCCCTGATGAGACGCAACCAGGTCAAAACAGCTGTCCAGTTCTTCCTAGCTTTTCAGTTCACGCTTCATTTGCTACATACATCACGAATTCCCTCGATGAAATTGTGATGTATTAGCCGCAAACGAGCTTGCTTGCCACTGTGTTCCTCTTATAGTGTGTAATGGCGGTTCATTCAGACACTTTCGTTTATTGATCATTCGTCTTATCTGTCGGATAGCCGTAGAAACTACGCATGAGCAAAACTAACGTCCAATTATTGTGATTGAAAACATTAACACTTCTAATCATCATCATCTCTGTTATTCTGGTAGTTTTCCTATCAGTCATTGCCTACTTTCATTACCTCTACTATCAGTCCTGGGCGTTTTTAAATCAAGTTTTGTTAGCTTTTCTTTGGTAATTTCACATTTATTAGTCATGTTACATTTGATCTAATTCACTGTGTTGTTTTTACTTACCGAGACATTAAGCCAATAGTGTGACTGGATTTGATTTCGTCATTTCCTTCTGATAACTGGGATCGATTATTTCAAACTTCTCGTGAGTCATTGCTTCCTTCAAGTGGTACACACTTCGATCAATCTGATTTCACAGGATAGTTAAACCTAAGCTGGTCGTTGCAATTATTAGTACTGTATTTGGTGTATGGTAATGGTTCTTCTTGTTTCGAAATGGATTTTGAAGGTTTGAAAGATTTCCAACCAAATTTCCAGCTCAAAGAACAAGAAAGATGAAACGAATCGGAGTGCACAAAATCAAGCAATTGAAACTATTTTGTTAATATTCTTGATTTGCTTTGTGAACACTTTTAGAATGGATTGGTACCCATTGTCGAACCAGAGGTTCTACCTGATGGTGATCATGATCTGGCCACAGCTCAGAAGGTTACCGAACTGGTACTGGCTTTTACCTACAAGGCACTTATGGATCATCACGTCTATCTAGAAGGCACTCTACTCAAACCAAACATGGTTACCCCAGGTCAGGCATGCACCAAACGTGCTTCCCCTGAAGAAGTAAGTTAACTAATGAGGAGTTATTTCAAAGGCACTTTTTATCAGATTTCCAGCGGACTAATGTCGGTTAAGTGTAATTAAAATGATTTTTGTGAACTGCTCACCAGGCCTTAAAAACTCATCTCACACGATGTATGTCTAAACATCTGCCAGAAAGTCTAGTTAATTTCGCAATAAAGAAAGTTTTCCGCCATCAGAAAAGAATGGTTTAAGCTTGTATAAAAGTATCCAGGCGACCATCCATACAAAGTAGTTCCCGGAGAATTTCAAAACCTGTTTATGTAGTCGGACTAAATGTACTTTCCTAACCCAAGATATCCAACTTAATCTTTGTCTTTGCTTTATTTTTCTCATTGAGTTGGTTAGCTTTGTGGGTGCTTGGACTATTCAAGTCTATTTTCAACTTTCGTCAGTATGTGATTCGATGGAGAATACCTCTATAAATTGTTTGAATCGATTCAATTTGTGCGACGTTTTCCCCATTCGATCCGAATGTAATCTTCTTTGATTCGTGCATCGATCACTGGATCTAAAAGAAGCCATCGCCTAGAGGTTTCTGATTCAAAATATTCTATCGTACGATCTTCGCATTTTAGCAGCACAGTTAGTCTACCAAGGATCACTTAATACTTGCAGCCTCCGTAGTTGGTATTAGAAACTGCGCTGATTGTAATTTTTTTTTAAAGTTTTGTGTTCCACAACCTGTAGGCCAAATCAGACCACTATTAGAGGAAAGATGTTCGACTTCCATACAGTCACACTCTGTATCTTTTATGGTTCAGTTTGGATTTTGCATAAAAACTGCTGTAGTATGATGTTGCTGAAAAATCCGTCCACCATAAATCGATCGTTGTCATGTGCATGTGCTTGGTGGTTACTTCAACAGGTGATATATTTGTTCCCGTAGACGTGTGTCATTTAAAGGCTGGACATCCACTTCCCAAATGAGTCTGATTTCGATTCATACATTTTGATACGATTCGTTTCGTGCATGTGGCTGAAAACGTAAAATGAAAAGCTAGAAAGCGTTCTGCAGATGGTTAAGCACTGCCTCGCACCTGATAGTTCTGGGGTTCGATCTTGAGTTGGCTGGATAAAATTGCACTGCTGAAAAGACACAGAGGCAACTTAAATCATCTGTGTGGTACTGTCCTTTTTAAGTTTTGCATCACCACTGTTGCGTATAGCGGCCAAATTTCGTTTCACAATCTGATCTTCTGCTCTCGGACCCTACTTCTATTATCATAATGGTTGTGTCATATGTTTGATTTGTAGTTGGCAGAGACGCACTGAGTTGGTTCCACATGTGGCTAGCTTGGGCTTACTTCTCCCTGTCTCTTTGATTAACTATCATTTAAGAGAGATCTAGCCATTTGCCGGTGAGCAGATACTCGGATGACAAAACTGACCGTTGTTCATCCTTTTTCTTTGGTCATGAAAGTACTGGATCACAGATTGATCGCGGTTTGCGTTTCACATTTTCCAACTGACTTCCTTTGGTTGAATTCCTCGTGCGTATATGCAGGATGAGCAACTTGCGGAAAGAGATTCAAGCAGATAACAGTGAAGGGAAATTCGACCGTCAACATTTCAGGGTATGGTGAACCTTTTGAAACACCTGCTTGCTGATCGACGTTGATCGGGGGATAAACACTGGAATTTGTGAATCTTTTGATTAGTTTTATTCGCTTTACTTTAACTTACCCCTTTGGGAAATGATTTTAGTGAACTAAGCAGTGGGTGCATCCACGGTTGGTACCGAATGGGTAGCTGGAGGAAAGCTGTGTGATATGTAGTATGCTGATCTTTTTTAATTTTTTTTTAAATTTTATTTTACTTCCTTTTTTATTGAACATGCAACGGTACAATTTTTAGCACGGGGGAAGCGGCTAATCAAACGGCTGCCATTCAACACACACAAATGGGGATAGTCAGGTGGTGGTGGGATTTGAACACATTCCCGGGGTGATAATTTGGTGACGTTACCACCGGGCCACCACCGCCCATTTATCTGTTCAAATCTATGGAGGATGCACAAAGAGCCCTTGACAGACTAGCGAGTTCTGTTGCTTCATTTAGTATGCGTTTATCAACTTCACACCCCATCTCTGATGCTTGATGATCAAGAATTGGTTGTAGTTGATTGTTTCTCCGACTGGGGGTTATTGTGTGTCAAATGACGGAAGAAAGTAACCGTCCGCATTTCCAAGGCACGGGTAGCGTAGCCAGAACTGAAACAGTTTCGGTGCCGACGTGATGTTCCTTTGAAAATGAAAGATCGCGTATACAGCATCAGTGTGCTTTCAGTTTTATTTTACGCTTGCGAGACCCTAAATTTGCTCTTGAAAGAAATTCATCATCTCGAAGTCTTTGATTATCTATGTTCACGTAGTTTGGCCCAGTTTGGATGGTGCGAGCACGTAAGCAACACTGAGTTAAGCCGGCGAGTATTTGGTAATGATTCTGCGGAAAGTTCGTTATCAAATCGAGTTCAGATTAGCAAGCTTCTCTGGTTAGGACACCTATTGCGCATAACCAGCTGTAGCCGCTCCGGGTTGGAGGAAACCACGTAGAAGACAACAGATGACGTGAAGAGGAGGTGCCGTATTTGCAAATACTGGTGCTAAATGTGTAAGTATATAGAGACGAATGCATGAAGAAATTCACAGNGAGGAAATCTAAGCGGAAAATAGAAAAGGGGATCAAATAGCGCCTTGTAGTACGCATTGTGAGGAGGGCAGCAGTGAATATGTACGACAAATACGAAAAGAATGATCGTCAATGAAGTAGGAAAATAAACAATTGGTCTTTCGATTGAACTTCGACAGTAGGTATTCCTCGCCTTTCAGGTTTGATTTCGAAAGACTCTGTAATTGATTGGTTGGAGACGGTGAGGGATTTGGCAACTACCCGACAGCTGTGGTTTCATTGTTGTCACTTCTTATCAGGTCTGAATGCACAATTAGATTCTGCACCTTCTCTGATCATAGAGGTTCACTTCCTTCTTTTCCTTCTAGTTAGTCCCAATCCATTTCTATAATAACCAGTATAATCTTAAGCTCATCCAACGCAACCAACGTTAAAGGTGTAGAATCCCGTCATAGTTTCTGAATACCTGACGCAGCTCTCAGCCAAATAGAGAACGATGTTCTTTTTGTGCTTCCAATGTTTTTCATAGTTATAATTGGCGCCACAGTTGAGTGAGCACGGAGTTGACAAATGATAACCAACCTTTCATTTGTTTTCTAATTTTAGATAGCCTTAGCTACGGTCACGGCATTGCAACGCACAGTGCCAGCCGCTGTTCCTGGTGTCACATTCTTATCCGGTGGTCAATCTGAAGAGGAAGCGGCGGTGAATTTGTGTGCCATTAACAAAGTGCACGGGAAGAAACCATGGAAGTTGACTTTCAGTTACGGACGTGCTCTACAAGCATCCGTGCTGGCCGCATGGCAAGGAAAGCCAGAGAATGTTGTCAAAGCGCAGAAGGAATTACTTAAACGAGCCCAAGTAAGTAAGGATCCGAGTTAAGACCAGGTATTTCGATATGAGTAAAAAACTATCCGTTTCAAAAATGTCCACTTTTTTACCAATGGGTGCTTCTTGGCTTGAAGTGGCTTGTTGCACAATACCACGTCGTTGTGTACATAAAGTATCAGGCGCTAAGAAAACATTTTATTTGTATTTACCTGTAACAAGGAAGAAGTTATGGGATTGTCCTCCTCCACTTCCCAAGAAAACATTCTTGCACTGCTGTTTGAATGCTGAGACAACATGCTACATGAATAGCTTAAAAACTGACCATTAACCTCGAGCCAAGCTTAAAGAGAAACTGAAGCAGGTAATTTATCTGATAAAACGAGCAAAAACACCTTTGTAATATTGAACTATTTCCGTACACTCAAACTGGTGCGATTATTATCTCACCCTGGTGAAAAGTTTGCAAATCGATCAGAAATAGACGTGAACGAGAGGAGGGTTACCTAGGCAGATCCGAGTGATGGGCGATTCTTTTTATAAAAGCAGTCTTTTTCCATCGGTTCATGGCAATTATTTCGACAATCTTTGACAATCATAACCATCAATTAAACTAAATGTTCTCGCCTAGTGCGTTTCTGGTTATCAGCGTGTCTGGCAATTGACGATACTTGTCAGCACTGCCGATTTCCGACAAATACGAAAAGAATGATCGTCAATGAAGTAGGAAAATAAACAATTGGTCTTTCGATTGAACTTCGACATATTTAACCATAACACGTGTAATTTATTAGACGAGATTTCGATTGATTCACTTAACCCACCACAGGCACAATTGCGGTTCGTCTAAGGGAGTAGGCTGAAAACCCTAATTTCAAATGAACCAACAAGGGCCACACGAACCACACACACGTTCCTGGTTGTGGCAGTGTGGTCACCGGTTTGATTGGGCATTGAAATGCATTGGGCACCTTGGGAGTTTGATCCCGCGTGTATCATCTGATGAACTGGACCCGGACCCCAATGGGTTACGGCTGTCACATGGCTGTCATCCGAATCAAAGTGTTAACACCCTATGGGATTTGTAAAAGCGAAGTCTTTATAAGTTGTATCCCATAATAAAAATTTGAATTTGACTGGCTGTGTCGCGGATCAGGCTTTAATCAACCGAAGACTCCCGCTGTTAATCCGTAAGAAACGTTACATGCCTCAGCCAGGGAAACCTGTTAGTATTCTGCCCGCAGGTAGATCATGAAAGCTTTTGTATTTTATATGGGTTATTGTACTTTGGTTTGTTTGGCACAGAGTCTGAACTCAAACACGTGAAAGATTATATGTATAGGGTGAATCGCGTTGCCTTACGCCCCGTTACCGTATTCCATCTCTTTTAGGCTTGTGGTGAAGCGTCACTGGGCAAGTACGCGGGTGGCTTGAAAGGCGCAGCTGACGATCAATCTTTGTTTGTGGCAAGCCATACCTACTGAAACACCCAGACACTTACCAATTAGTGTTTGTCCGATTTCCAACATTTGAATATGTTTTCCCCGGAAAAGAAAGAACTAAACTGCTCATCCCATATTTTGACAGAACTTTCAAACAAGGAATTGCATTCGTCGTAGAGTATGAAATTCTTCCATTTTCTATCTTTTGATAATAAAATCTGTCTTGATTGAAGTATACTTTTGTTGAAAATGCCACGTCACTAGTTATTGTTTATTATTCATCGTAATGACTTCTCCGAAGTACTTTGGACTTTTTTGGTTCATTTCTCCTGCGTTCTGGATGCGACAAAATTCACCAAGAAATCGAATTTAATCCAATACTACTTATTTCCAACAACTAGTCTGTTTAAGATTGTTTGCAACCGAGTCATAACCCTGGAGGCTCAATCATAAAACGAGCAAGAGGCGATAACCACAAAAAGCATGCAAAGGTGAGGTGTGCTTTGCCGTGTATCGACAGTGTAACAAGCTGTCTCACCAGCTGTCCAGTGGTCAAGTGGAAATAACCCCTGCGATCCTCCCAAGCCCGATCCTAAGTTAGTTTAGATGTATTTGCACTTCAAATGAGACACAACAACGTCAGAACGATGTTGAAGGCACCCGAGCTTACAAATGGACCTCATGCGATGAAGTTCATCAAATAATTCACGACACATCTGCCCACACATTTCAGACATTTTGGTACATTCTGGCATCAGTAGTCCCATCAATGTGTGTCAGGTTTACTGAAGTGAATTTTATTGTATCCACGATGTTATGAGATTGGCTTACCTCATCCACTGACTGAGAGGAGCAATTCCCCACACTTCCGTTCACTTGTCAATTGTTATTATCAAATAAGCATGATAATGTATTTCGAAACGATAACTAGAATTATAACAAATAAAATCAAAACTCACAAAGAATAACGGAAATAAATAAAGCTAACTTTTACAAAAGAGGCCATTCACACAGATTTTTTGTTAGGTTTGTTCGAACAGCAGAAGGACTGGATATTTAAGTGATGGAATGAATAGAATGAATAGCACAACAGGGAAGCCTAATTTTTTATTATATAACTACAAACGAACACAAGTTGGGGACAGGGAAATATTTTTGCTAATGAGAACCCTCAGGTTGAGAGCCAAAATAATTATTCCTTAACTAAACGCTCAAACAGCGGTCAATGCGCTTAGAACAAAGGTATGAATAACAAAAAATTAGACCAGGATGTCTCTGGATTTGCATGACATGAAATGAAGCCATATTTGTACCAGATGTCTAATCGCAAATACAGTAGGGCAAAACGTTTCGTGTTCTTCCGAAAATTGCGTCAATCTACATGGCCGTTTCGATGGTCCTTGTGGTTAACTAGTTCGGCCTTGAACCTAAATAAGCGAATACTGCTATAATAAACGGAACTCAATTTTTTTCAACTTGGAAATGGTTGTTTGATTGTTCCGGATAAACATGCTTCGTCCTTTGTCATTCTGTAAAATGAACAATATCACTCAAAACCTTCGGGAAATGACTGGAGGGACATTTGAAACTCTTCATCCTATGGTATTTTGTTCGATCGATCGGTGAGCGGAGAGAGTAGTACAAGTATATACCTTATCTGAAACACTTCATGCTCGTGGGCTATAAAGTCAACCCTGGTTAAACGGTTTAAGTTGTGGTTGCCATCGACGCGCATGCATGCACGCACGGGCATATACGGATCCGAGGTTCAAACTCCATCTATTTCACTACCTTGAGTCAATACCACACACCATTTAACATAATACCTATCTTGGGGCTTGCCACTCTGCATTCGATGAAATGAGGTTGTTGTCCCCATGCGAAACCGGTAAAGTAAAATATTCTACTATTGCCACCAATACATGGTGGGAACTCGTTTGATTTGACCTACTCTAAAGCATAATTATTTCATTTTTTAATTATCAAGCCTGACTGCATAGTAAACGAAAAAAAGACCTGTTTATCCGGAAAGGAACAATGAATATCCTGGTACTTGATCAATGAGTGGCTGGAACATTCGCAGTTTCTCTACCGCATCAAACCATCAGAAGAATTCAGTTTCACCAACAGGAATGCTGTATTACAAAAAATCCTCAATTTCGATCTTATCGTCACATTGAAAATCAATAAAATGAAATGATACAGCAAAAGTGGTATTATTGCTGTTCTTCGATGATTTCTAACACACTGAACAACGTGAACCTTTGGCAATCGTCGAAATTAGAGTGACTAAGCGTTCTATTTCAGTAGTATATGGGAGGCTGAAGTAGTTGAGTACCAACATTGAAGTTCCTAAGGTGCTTCAGGTAGAAAATCTAGGTTTATTGGCATATCATGTGATTGGGTCACTCGTGATCTCGGTATTATTGATTCAGCATTCAGTGACAAGGGAAATTCTAGTCATTAATTGACCGTATTTTATGGCTGGATGCCACTGTATTTGGTGAAGAAAATCGAATTTCATAAAGCCAAGTCAAGGAATCGATTTATACACCTAGAAAGGTGGACATTCAGCAATAACAGAACCACAGTGTGTCAGCAAACATATAAAAAAAAAACACTATAATACGGCAATTAAAAGATAGCAACATCAAAAAGATAATCGTATACCCGGGTGTTTATGATTGATTTAGTTTAGCGTTATGCGCAGATTTCCTGCAACGAGTTCATGGCTTGTTAGAAATCTGGCGAGATACGGTACAATAGAGCGCCTGTAAGCTTCAGTGCGTGTCTTTATAAGTTTGTGAGTGGTACGGGTGGATGAGTGAGAAAGGCATTGACTAAGAGCAGAATAAAAGTGGTGGCAAATATCAGATAAAATCTTGTTGGAGAATGTTTACAGGGCTTGAGGTGGTGTCGTCAAATACTGTACGAGATGTTCCCGTGGTATGAGACTACAAACTGAGAGAAACCTGATGGATCGGGAAATGAGTTTGAGATTCTCGTTACAAAGACGGGTTTGAAAATAACGCCAAGGTATTTGACAGACGGTTGTCGATCAATCTGGTCACTGGGGACAGATAAAGGTGGGCTGGCATTTGCCAATTCATCATACCTTTGTCATTTCAGAGGGGAAAAAGTACGCCATAAAATTTCTGAAGGTTTATGCAGAGGTTCCTTTCTTGAGACCACTCAACTGTTTCTGACATGTTTTCTTGCAGAGTGGCTTGAAATGATAGGTTGCGGAAGGACATTCCGAATGATTTATCATCTGCATGCCTAACAAAAAGAGAACAATTGCTCACAGGCATGGAGGAAATCTAAGCGGAAAATAGAAAAGGGGATCAAATAGCGCCTTGTAGTACGCATTGTGAGGAGGGCAGCAGTGAATATGTACGACCTTTGTAGCGTGTGAACTGCTGACGGTTGGAGAAATAGCTGGTCAAGAGTTCGATTGTAAAAGGTTGAACTCTGCCCGAAAAGAGAGAATTTAACAAAAGTTGTCGATCAATTGTGTTGAAGGCATCACTGTAGTCAAGGAAACCTATGCGTACAGCCTCGCTTTTCTTATCCAGGTTCGATAAAACAAAGTGGGACAGCTAAGCAAGCTCA